TCAGCAAGAAATAAGGGGGCGAGCAGCTAATTATTTACTAAGAAACCTTTTCTTTATGTCCATTGGTAAGCTTGTTAATTATTTAACAAGATTTGGTAGCAAACCTTTAAAAGAGAAGAGATTAAACTGTTAAATTTAAATTAAATAAGCAGATTATCCTCAACATTCCTTGTATAGACCAATGCTGTGTCTATTTATACCATAGAATGTATTACTGGGGGAGGTGGGGGTGGGGGCGCAGTGGAAGGCAGAGCACAATTTTCAACTACAAAGTATATGAACTAGAAAATGTGTTTTGCTGTGTTTTGCTTGTTTTGTTTCGTTTTGTTGCATTGCTTTTTTCACACTCTCCCTTAGTCATTTTGGGCAGCTCAGTTGGGTTAGATCAAGTTCTGGCTGAACTGAAATTTAGAAAATTGGGCTTGCTCTGGCTTTTGCTGAGTAGAGCTCTTATGGATGAGCAGATCAGAGTTGGTGCAGCTTGAGCCTCTCCCCTGTCCTCATTCACCTGGCCTGGATGTCAGCTCACCACTTACTTCTCTGGTGCTGCTATTTCTCTGATGCTGCTGGCTGGTGACCCTACTCACCTATTCTACTTCCCCCTCTTCATGACTGCCTCTCTTAAAGTGGCCCATGCAGGTTTATCCTCCTCCTCCGTCTTCTCTTTATTTTCCCTTCTTATCAACTTCTGAAGTAGACCAGGTTGTTGAGACATGGAACCACAACACTACAACTCTACTTCAAAGAAGAGCAACTAAGATGATCAAAGGCCTGGAGACTAAACCATATGAAGAATGGTTGCTGCAGTGGTGGTATGCTACCAGTTAGGCCTGGTTTGGCCGAACTGGTAGTAAAAAAAAAAAAAAGCCTCCGATCAGCTGAGAGGATAAAAAACTGAAAAGCACATGGGACGGTGGAAGGGTCGCTCCTAGTTTTTCGTTTCTTTGTCCTCTCAACTGATTGGCTTGTTAGGTGCATGCATGTTAGGGGTATGCACGCGCATGCACAATCATCCACTGAATTGGTAGTGACTAAGGTAGGATCCCACTACTGCTGGTTTTGGGTTTGGCTAGTCTAAAGAAAAGAAGAATTAGGGGTGACATGATAGCAGTATTCCAGTATTTGAGAGGCTGCCACACAGAAGAGGTCAAATTATTTTCCAAAGCATCGGAGGGCAGGACAAGAAACGATGGATGGAAACTAATCAAGGAGAGAAGCAACCTGGAATTAAGGAGAAACTTCTCAACATTGAGGACAATTAACCAGTGGAACAGCTTGCCTTCAGAAATCATGGGCACTCCAGAGGTTTTGAAGAAGAGACTGGACAGTCACTTGTCTGAAATGGCATAGGTTCTCCTGCTTGAGCAGGGGAATGGACTAGAGGACCTCCAAGGTGCCTTCCAGCTCTATTCTATTCTACTTTATTGATCTGATATATAACAACATAACAGTGCTTCTGTGATGACCCGGGGCATGGCACAAAGACAACACAGCCAGAATAATAAGTAGAGGTCTCTTTATTAGCTCCAACTTTGCCCCCAACAATCCGTTTACCTTCTGGTCTGGAGAAAAACTCTCCCAGGAACCTGCAACAGCCTTTGACTACAGATATTCCAGTCCCAAATGTTATAAACAGAAAACTTTAAACTATCAGTTCAGCAAGACAAGATTAGGTAATAAATCCAGCAGGGCAAGATAAGGAGTTCCAGAAGTGAAGTAACACAGCAATAAATCAAACCAGTTGGGAGGATGCCAGGAACTCACATAACAGCAGCCAACACGAGATAAAGTCAACATTTGTTTGTATACTGGAATAATGTCCAGTTTGTATACTGGAATAATTGCCCCTCCCAAACTGCCTCTCCTTTAAACTCCCTCCCAAGGCGTGCCTTGTGAAGGGAATCAGGGCCCTTTCCTCCCTCATAAATCATGCAACCCATGTTGCTCTCTTCTCCATTCTTTCCTGCATGCCCTAGGATGAAGAGGGGATGGGTCTTGTTCTTCCTCTGAACCCCCTCTCCCTTGTTCTACCTCTTCCCTGCTCTACCCAGCCTGACTTTGCCCTTCCCCAGTTTCCTCCACAGACAACAGAGCCTCTCTCCCACTCCCTATCAGCTGTTCGTCTTCCTCCTCTCCAATCGGGACATGACAGCTTCCTTTCCACTTATACCAATGAGCATTAAGGCGGGGCAGTTTTAAGTTTCTTTCTCACACTGTTTTATTTTTCTGGACTGAACTCACATTTTGCTAATGGTCTCTGCAGGTCTTCTCTGAGTTCATCTCTGAGTTTCTTTAGTTCCAATTAGCTCTACCACTGCCACAAATCACTGCCAATGGCTTTCACATTCTCCCCACCAGGGAGAATATACCAGGCACATGTGGGTTCCTGATCCATGGCCAGACCAAATATGCACACTTAGTCTGGGCACACCACCTGACACAGGATAGTCTGTGCATGGAATGTTTTGCACATCCTTAATTGAAAAGCACTGTTCCATTTATGTAACAGTATGATAGCCTTCAGCATCTGATTTTTTCCAGATGGAAAGAGTCATGCTAGTTTAGTATTCTATGAGGTGCAGTCTCCACACATCTGCAGGATGACAGCTTAGGAAAAGACAGACTAATATGGGGTGGGATGTTATATTTCACATGGGAAGAATTTGAATATGTTTCTGTTCAATAAAAGATTAAAAGGCATAGAGTTTTATGAATTGCCTTGTATTGTTTGGCTATGCCTTAAGTTTCATTAAAAATTGTTCTGTAAATGTTTAAAGGAATACATTTAATGAAATAAGAAATGCAAAGTTTATGTTTATTTCAATAGAAGCCACTAGTTTTGATACTTCTTTTGATAAAAGGTAGCATGTAAATGCAGTAAAATTAATAAATAAATATATTCTAATTAATGTATTTTTTTTTAAAAAAATAGCAGTCTCTCTATGTTCATACAATATCATGTGATGCAAATGTTAAAATATTGTTTTTTTTTCACACTGTTTCAAACAGATATCACGCATCATATTTAAATGAATGTGAGGTATTAATATAATGATAGCAGAGCTGAAGTGCCTTTTATTGTACCTTCTTCTGATCATTTCTTCAGATCTTGAAAAACATCATTTGCCACGATTGTCTGTTAGGATCTGTACCTTTAGGCAGGGGTGGGAGTCTACCAGTTCACACCTATTTGCTAGAACCGGTTGTTAACATTCTAAGCAGTTCAGAGAACCGGTTGTTAGAAGAAATTACTTGCCTAATCCTGTAAGGAAGACAGGAAGGAAACATTCTGGTGTTGCTTACAGAACCTGCCTCTCTGTTAACCCTTATTACATTCTTGGCAGGACTAGACTTCCTGTCTTAGGAACATCTCTGGAGTTTTTTCCCCTCCTTTGCTGGTACTTTGCTTGTGTGAAGTGACCATTCAAAGTTACAATGGCACTGACAAAAGTGACTTATGACCATTTTTCACACTTACGACTGTTGCAGCATCCCCACAGTCATGAGAAGCCAGGCGAGGAGATGAGTGCCTCGATGTGAGTGATATTGAGTTGGCCATGCCCAGCCAGTCACATGACCACCAAGCCATGCCCACCAACTAAGCCATGCCCACAGAACTGGTTGTTAAAAAATTTGAATCCCACCCCCGCCTTTAGGGTCTTGTAAGTTCATATGTGTCTTCAGTGATAGCATCTAGCCCCCTTTTCTTTCCACAGCTTCCTTTTTTTTTGCCTTCAGTCTTTGGAAGCTTTATGATCTCCAGAGACTGGCCTTAGCATTATGGATCTAAAATAACTTAAGTTTTAACTTCATGATTAGTACTTCCAGTAAACTGCCTGAATTTATTTCATCTAACACCAAACCATTTCTTCTTGCAAGCCAAGATATTCTCCGCCACTGTCTCCAGCATCACAGTTCAAAGGGACCCATTTTACTTCATTCAGTCCTTCTGGTGATCTTCCATCATTATAAAAGATTCCACTTACATTATGACGTGGCTTTGCTTTAATACTTTGTCTATATCCATCGTAGCCTTTCCATACTTCAATAACTTCGTCAACTCTGTTGAGTTGTGTTTGTTTCCTCGTGTTTGTTTCTGAACAGCATCCTGGCCTTTGCTATCTCTTCTATCACCTTCAGCAAGAGATTCTGTAAATCTTCCTTGCTTCCAGTCATTAAGACAACATATCTGAGTGTTGATGATTCTCCTAATAATTTTAATTCCAATTTGGGAAAGGTAAAATGAAAAAGGACAACCATCAGCAGATTGACTTAGTTACAGTAATGATAAGACAACATTGAGAGACTTGAAACAAAAACAGGTCCATCATGGAGAAAAATCTATCTATGTGGTTGCTAGGAATCACAAATGACATGATGGCACATATTCAATCAGTACAAAATGGGCACTTTTCCCAATGTTGAACCCTTAAGTTGCTTCCCATTTTATTCTAACTGCTACTTTCTGGTAATCAGATAACAATAACTAGAGTGAAATCAAGTAATCTTGTGTGGCATGAATGAAAGGAGCTTCAATAGAAATGTAATCTTTTATTGTCATGTAGTTCTTAGGTGTCAGCATAGCTACCTTAGCTAAAATGCCTACCTTAATTGGGACATTTTAGAATCCTAATAACTGAGGTTCAATTGTTCCTCTTGAACTGCTGAAAAGTTTTGTGTCATTCCGAAGGGACAAACTTTTGCAATCCTTTTTCAAAAATTATTCAATTTATAAGCCGCCTCATTTCTTACAGAAAACATGCTATACAATTATTATTATTATTATTATTATTATTATTATTATTATTATTATTATTATTATACACAAAAATGACAGTAAACACAGCAAATGAGATAACTATTCTGGGTTTCATATCACAAATCACTAGTTGAACACTTCCAAATGTTTAGGACTGTGGTGCTCTACCTTCCATGGGTGCCGCTTGACATGGTGGGGGGCTTAACTGTTCCAATGAAGCTGAGAGCTATGCTGGTGGTAGTGCAAACTACCAGCAGGTCCAACCATGTCAGAGAGGTCTTGGCCGAGGAGCAGAACTGAGTGCACCCAACAACTCATGCAATGAATCATGGTGAAACACAACCAAACGAAGCCTATACTGGCTCAGTCGTCACCCTGCTTAACAAGGACTGCGTCGGGTGTTGGGGAACCTGGGCATCTGTCGACAAATGGGCTACAGGCCATGGGTCCCATAGCTGAGCAACAAGGGCATGGGCCTGCAGGGCTACTGGAAGCTGAACAACCTCAGAAGCGGCAGAAATCTGCCATGTCAGAGAACCGCACTGTAATGAAATGCTACTACAAAGCAGAACCAGAAAAACGAGGCTACCAAAAAAGGATGTACAAATTATAATAATTATTAATCCTGTTTCCCCGAAAATACGACCTACTCTGAAAATAAGTCCTAGCTCAATTTTTACACATGCACCCAATATAAGCCCCCCCAAAAGCCCTAATTAAGATCCCGCCCAAACCAGAGTGCACAGGTAAAAATTAAGCTAGGGTGGGGGGTTGGAGCTGCCCTACTACTTATCTTTGGACAGTTGTAACCAGGCCTCGCACACCCCAACACCTGCCTTGCCAGCCCATTTCTTCTATAGCCAGCAAGGCTGGCAAGCTTTTCTTGAAAGCCTCTGCAGCTGATAACAAAGCTCTGGATCGATCTGGAGCTCTGTTATTGGCTGCAGAGGCCTTCAGGAAAGCCTTACTGACCACAGAAGAAGTAGTTCCTGAAGGCCTCTGACAGTGAAAAGGAGCCCGGGGATGATGCGCGCAAGTGAGGTTAACATCCCCCGAAAATAAAACCTGGTGCCTTTTTGGTGCAAAAAAATTTATAAGACAGGGTCTTATTTTCGGGGAAATACAGTAGCAGTATCATCATAACAGTTCTTGTCAGGGAACAATCAATCAGTCTTAAAAACAGAGCCACAAATAATCCTGTCCCTGCTGAAAGACCCACATTTTAAGAGCTTTCTTAGGACATTGGTATCCGGGTTGTGAAGACATCAGAGGAAATACCACTACAGAGGCCAGGGCCAGCCACAGAACAGGCCTAACGCCAAAGACCCATAAGATAGCCTTACTTTGATGATGGAACTTCAAGTATGCCAAGCCCACCAGAATAGACTGAGACAATGAGGGAAAAGCAATCCTGTAAATATCCAGGCTGTAAAGGGATTTATAGATGACAACCAGCACTTTAAATTGTACCCAGAAACGGAATGTTTCCCCCTCTCTCTTATTCCATTTCCCCCACCCCACCCATGTTGCAATCCACAATTAAGGCCACAATCCAACTTAAATTGCAATGCACTTAAACATTAAAATAAATGGGCTTAAACACTCTTAATTCAATATTGGATTCTCTCTTTAGTATGCAAGTTGGCAATGCATCCATCACATATATTTGCAGTCAGCACATAACTTAAGGCTAGTTTTTTATGTGTGAGTAGTGGTGACATCTGTGATGTGCCACAGCCATCATGCAAACTGTCTTGTGACTTCCCTTGAATTGTTTTTTTTGGGGAGGGGAGGGGGGGAAGGGTGTTTTAGCATGCATATTTTTTTCATTAATTATAGAATATCTAACACCAACCAGTGGCATTTCACACACTCAGCTAGTTTAATAGGAAAATGATCAACAAGAAACACCAGATGGTTTCACCAATAGGAATTGGATTATAGCATTCAATGATACAATATTCAGTTTTTTTTCTTCTTCATTCTTAGAATGTATATCCTAGTTTTAGGGGGGTAGAATCCTTGTTAAAACAGCTTGAAGTACACAGTAAGTTGATGTTCCTGAGAGCTGACCAATATCAGCAACTAGTAGAGGAAAACTTAACCTAATAGTTCGATCATATAATGAATGATTTGCAGATTTGTATTTTGCTTTTGTTTGATAATAGGGTATCCTTAAATGTATAAACAAAGTATTTATTGGTGTGCTGGGTTAAGAATTAAAAATCTCTTGGATGGCCTTTGTGAATCTCGGCATGAAGCTCAGTAGTGCTAAATGAGAAATGTTTACATTTTGAGGCCCCAAACTCTGAATTAACCAAAATCAACTGCCAGCCCTGAAGTGAACCTGGCTGAGGCCATCTTGGAGGCTTCAGGGTTGCCACACACGGGGGTGGGTGGGTGGGGGTGGAATAGTTAGATTGGGTTTTGTAGCCAAAACAATAAAGTTTTCCTGTGGGAACCAAGGACATTCCCACAGGTGGCTGGTCGGAGGAGGAGTGAAGTAACCAAACAATGGGCCAGCACCTTGATTGGAAAGCGTGACCAGTGACTTGGGAGAAAGGGGAAATGTTTACTTTTTAATTAGGTGAAAGCTGTGGGAACTTCAGAGTCGGCTTTCACCAGTTGTGCCAATATGATGTATCCAGTGAATTATTCTTTCAAGAATTCTCTGCCTCTGAATTCTACTGAGTTTACTTGGAACACTGACATCAACAAGCAAAAATCTTATGGGGGGCGGGGGTAGGTTTCATTGCAGAGACTCATCCTGGTTGTTATAAACAAAATTCAGTGTGACTTTGTTTGTTTGCTTGAGTGATAACCTTTAAGCAGTGCATTAAATGGGACATTATGGAAACATGCAACCCAATGACCTTTCCCCAAATAAATTGCCTGCCACTCCTGCATCCTCCTAGCCACTTGCTATCTCTTGCAGTGAAGTGTCCTGTGTAACATAAATTGCAAATGCTTAATGGACCAAGACTGGGAACCTGTTTTACCACTAGGTGAAAGCCATTGTATTGCTTCTATTCTATGGAATTATACCAGCTGTGAAAACACAGGAGTGGCATTACATGTCACGGACAAAAGATCTATGGAAATTAACATTTGAGTCATTATGTTCTTCTCTCGCCCCCACTTCAGTTGAATTTATTAGGCTGGTATTACTCTTTGGTGCAACACAGTAGAGTAGCATAGGGCCTTTCCCCTTCAGGCACTGGATCACAACAATCTTTTCTTCAGGTGTGCCCAGAGCTGTATGAAGTAGGGGTCAAAATGGCTAATGTCATTTTGTCCCCTCTCTTTGTGTGTTAACCTTATAAACATGTACAAAAATGTGGGGCTTCATTCAGTGGTTACATCTGTGATTTTGGCCTTTCTGGCTCCTCACTGCAAATGACTCCAGTTGTGATCCTACAGCAGTTGTCTTCATTCCATCCTCACCCAAGAAGGGAAACTGCCTTATGTCTTTGCTGTATAATTGTTAATGAAAGATTTTCCCCTTGAATCCAATAACAGTCACAAGGTATGTGAAACCTGTTACATTTTACCACCTGTTATGGCCTAGGAAGACCAGGTCAGGTGACCAGGAGTGGGTAAAACCCAAGAAGTCATGTCAGAGTAATGCGAACATCGCTCTTCCCCTCCCAACTCTCACCAGTCATCTTTGTTGCCTTTGTCTGCCTAGAGAGCCGGACAGGTTACTGTGGTCTATCAAAATTGCCCCAAAGTACTGCATTCTTCAGCCAGATCAGTGCCTCTATTTGATGACCCATAGAATTTTTTATTGTCAAGTTTAAATCCTTGATGGAGGAGCATGTTCTAGAAGCACAAAATATAAATAAAGAAACAAACAAGTAAGCAAGTAAGTAGCTAGTGTAATTGTAGAATGATATGAGCCACTTACTTGTTACCTCCCAAATTCACCAGGTAGGAATACGGACATCACATTTGTTAGGGAATGGAAAGAGGAAAGAGGGGAAAGGAAAGGAAGGGAAAAGAAGGGAAGGGAAAGGAAAGGAAGGAAAGGAAAGGAAAGGAAAGGAAAGGAAAGGAAAGGAAAGGAGGAAAGGCTGTGCTTTCTTGAGGACTCCATTTTTATTTAACTCAGATTTAGGAACATAGACAGAATCCTACCACCAGGCCCACCCTATTCCTGCAGAGGCTTTCAGGTTGGGTAGATGTTTTTTTGTAATGATTGAAGATGTGTGGAAATGAGAGGACAAGAAACCTAATCATGTTGCTTATCAAGTGCTGCATACATAAAATTGGGGAGTCTATTAAGAATGAGTCAGAAAAGCTTCAACAGAGGCAGGGTAGAAATAGGTGGAGATCCACCAATGAGGGCTTTAAAGGCCATGAACTAAGCAGACAGCCTTAAGCAAGTTATTCATACTCAGCCTTGGTTCCTGTCTATAAAATGAGAGCAACATAAATCAATGTCCTGCCTCCTGTTTATTCAGTAACTACTCAGGAAAAAAAAAATCATTTGTCAGGTCTAATTAAGATGAGGCTCCAAGCTGGAGACTTCAGGTTGCTTCAATGTAGTCTAGTATCGAATTCCTACAGCGTATTTCTTACAGTACTTCATTTGCTTCCTGCACCATCTTTCCATTATTTAAAAAAACAGAATTCTATTGTATATTATCAAACAGGAGGTGTGTTCATTCTTAAGCTCTGCTGTATAGAAAGGATGGGCAACCTTTTGCCAACTAGGGCTAAACTTAACAGGTTAGGATTTGGTGGTTGTTTATAAAGATCTTTAGGCCATCTTTGGGTGATCTATGATGCACCGTGGATAGGATCATACTGAAGAGGTAGACAAGATCAGGATTTCTTTTTCTTTAAGAAAAGTTTCCTTTAAAAACTATGTTAGGTCTAAGCATCTTCCTGAAAATGGTAGGAAATTGTGTGTTTTAGAAGTAGGAGCTCTTTTCAGCTTTACTCAATTATGATTATCCTGTCTTGGAAGAGTGCCTAAGGGACATGTAAGTTTATATTAGTGTAGTCTCTGGCATATAAACAGGCCTATTCCTCTTTCAACTGCATGTTTTAAATAAGCATCCAGGTAGCCTTTCATGGTGACATACTAAAATGAGTACAAATAATTATATGTTAGCTTGCCCTGCATTGTTTACTTCTTGTTTGACAACATTTATGTTGTTTCCCTTGGGCTGGTAAATTACCCTTGTACCTAAATGTGTAAAACAAATACACCCAGAGAGAAGAACCATTGCATTAAGTCAATGTTTCTCAACCTTAGCAACATTAAGATATTGGCTGCGGAATTCTAGGAGTTTACTTATTATTTATTTCTTAAATGTACATAGTTGCTCATCCCATCTAGATGGTGC